CATATACGTCGCGTACAACGTTACCCGGCGCCCCGCCCGCTCACAAAACACAGCTATACCTCGTGCATGATACGTTTACGCACTTAGGTCGCTTTACATGTATATATATATATATTCTAATTACTATTAAAAATATATATCAACACGTTTTATTTTCATTAAGAGATATTCATTCCGATTACAAAGGATGATTCCCGTATCGTCATTTTTCGTCATTACCTCCATGTTTCGGAAGTGGGTAATTTACGCGTCTGCTGCTTTCCTTGGATGTGGTAGCCGTTACTCAGACTCCCTTCCCAGAATGGAACCCTGTATTCCCGTTACCCGTTACAACCATGATATTAATAGTAACTACTATCATAACATGAAACTAAAAAGTAAAAAATAAATATAGTTTAAAAAAACACTCTTTTAAAGTATTTTTTATTAACTAGTATTTTTTGTTCATTATTTCTTTAAGCTTATTGTAAAAATTATTTTTAACTTTTTAGTTCGATGTACTTTAAAAGCGTGTTTTTTTAGTTTTTTTAAACTATATTTATTTTTAGTTAATATTTTAAAACTACTCTTACCTGATATTTAGTAATGATGTAGAATCTCAGTTGTTGTCTTGTAGTTGTTCGAAGAATTTTTTTTAATTATAGTAGGTGTGTTAATATGAAGATTATTTGTGAGTTATAGAAGCGTATTTATTTTTAATCAAAGTGTTAATCGTTTTAACAAATAATTTTAAACTATGTGAAATGAATAAAGTTAAATACAAGAGACACACGCAAAGAATACAATTTAATATATTATTTTTGAAAATCTAGCCCTTCAACTGCCCATAGAGCTGATTCAAAATGATAACTTTTTCATCTTAACTGTTGAAAATTTTTCGGAATACTGACACTTTTATATACATCTTAAATTAAAGCTTATGTAATATACTTTAATATGGAAAAACAAATTTCAAACTTTATTTTGTCTTCATGGTGAAAACGGCTACCGTATTAAAAAATATGTTTTTGTGTGTTATAATTCTCGTTATTGTATTTTATTTTATTTTAAAATATCTTGCAAAGCTTTTTGAGTTAGAAAAAAATATTTAACTCGTTTGATTTTAATTTCATTTAGATTCAATAATTTTAATGAATACAAGGACACCATCGCTATAGTTTCTCCTTTTGAGAAGACATTTCTTATTTATATTTTATAAAAATTATTTTTTTGTGTCGTTAATTTTTCTCTATGATCACTTCACCAGTTTTTTTAGCGATACGTCTAATGATCACAAATATTGTCTAGTTAAAGATATTACCCTCAAAAATTGAAAAATATCCCCTTTATCAAATACAAATTTTCTTAACTAGCTATCTCCTTATAGACAATTAAAATTCTAATATTTTTTATATATTTACTGTCAAATTAGGTTTGATATGATGATAATAGGTTTCAACTACAAAATTAAATCATTTTTCTTTGTAATTTATCAATTTTTTAACTCTATTGGTATGTGTTACTACCAGTCTATATTTCAAATTTTTAGGTGACATGTTGCTAAACAAATCATTTCTAAAAAAAAATTATTTTTAGTTTCACCTGAATTTAATAATGAATTTCAACATATATAATCAAGTTTTATAATACACTCAATTGAGTAGATTTTTTTAACAACTTTTTGATTGGTTTTTTAGTATAAGTCTTCTTATTTTTCCTACCCTTAATCTCTTCTACTTGTGGCCGGCAACCTTTATCCTAAACTTCCACTTGACACGATCTCCCACATCATCTACGCTCACATCAGACGTCCTCATATCGCATTCAGTAAAAGTAAATCATTAAAATTAATTAATTCCTGAATATTTCAATTGTCGAATCTTTTTAAATACCAAAAGTTATTTAGAAATGATTACTATGATTTCTGTTTAAGTGATCTATTACAATAAAATTGCAAAAAAAATATTGAACTTTTCTGATCAATTTACTGTAAATAGTAATAATAAAATTTCCTGACTGCATATTATTCTTAACAATACCATTTTTTTAATTATCATAAAATTTTCTATTTAATAATGTTAATTTCAAACATGCAAGTTGAGCTAAAAGTCATGATAAAAAATTTAACTCTTTTTTATAATAAACTTTTAAAAAATCAACATTAAAGGACCAAAAAAATTTGTTAAAAATGATATTTTGTACTGATTTTTTTTACATATTAATAAACAAAATCAGTCATAATTTAAAAACAATTTTTTTTTTATTTCAGTTATTTTTTTATATGTAAATACTCATTTTTAATAATTAGTAATAATATAAAAACTTAGAAGTGATAGAAAATGTCTAATTTCAGATTTGAAAACAGTGAAAAGTTGATTTAGAGAAGTAAATTTTTAATTCATAAGTAAAAAAAATTTTTTTATCAAGTATTGGATCAAGTCCTTCAATTTTTATACATGTTTGTCATAGAAATAACGAATGTACTATTTTATCTTTTTTTATTATCTCTTCGAAAAAATTACAGTAATAAATTATTAAATTTAATTTCATACTATATTAAATTGCTACAATAAACATTTATTCATAAAATATACTTATAAATCTAAGAAATACTAATCAGGATATAATTAAAGAAGTAGGATTTGATGTTACTTTTGTAATTATGCACAAATTTCTCAGAATTAAACAATATCTACAGATTTTCGATAGTGTTTATATGACAGTGATTTTAATCATTGTCAGATATACTTGTCCCAACTATTCCACGTTCATACTGTGCTACCGTTTATTTAAACATAACCTTTTTTTTAAAGGTATTTTATTGTTATTAAATATCTCATAAATTCTCTCAGTTTAACAGAGACACTATTACAGTCGACAGCATAGAGGCTAAGTAGATCAAAAGTTTATCAACCCAGTGTATCTGTTAACCGCTTAAATTATTATCAATAATAATTAAAAATGTGCTAGATTCTAAAAACAAATTATTTATATTTCATAAACACAATTTGTTTTCATAAAAATAAACTTCACTGTTGTTCAATAATTACTAAAAAATCATTACAAACAATAATTAATTAATGATATCACTGGACATTATAAGAATGTTATGTGTTACGTGTTATTTTATACAGTAGATCAATAAGTAAGAAAACAGGTCAATTGTTACAAACAATCTGAACAATAAAAACCCATTTCCTTACATAGTGAACACCCTGTATAATACGTATTAGATGTTAAATCAACACACTATGTAAAAATAGCCCAATAAATAAAACAATAACAAATTTATGGCAAAGTACGGCTTGTGTATTATTCCTAGATAATTTCTTATGTTTCACTCTTTACTATAAATACGCATGGTGTATTTAATTTTATTTATAACTGTTGTTTTATTTTAGCATATATATTATTATCATTTTACTGTGCGATTTCTGAATAGGAAATCAAAAATTAGTTGTATAATTAAGTTACACCATATTGTAATATTTTAAAGCACTCAAAAATATATAGTTTAACTCCTTTATTTTTATTATAAATCCAACATGGTAATTTTGTCATTGTACTTGCGTCTTCGCTCTAGACTACTGTACTCACATAGTCTACTAGCGGAATATACGTCAATACTTTGTTTGTGGTTACTTTATATTTGTTCTTAATTAAACGTGGATCTTCTATTTAATTTTATTTAAGAGTCTTTGACTTATTTATTTTTTGCCACAATAACACTTGGTCTGCCGTAATACTCGACTTTTATTCGGGTATAATATATTGAAGTCATTGTGCGAGGTGTTTGTTTCAACTGAGAATGAGCATCTTGCGTGAAGCTGCGTTAAAAGAAGATATTGGGCGATATTTTAGGAAGCATATCTCAATGGTATTTTTGGAGTCCTACCTTCCATTTTGCAGAAAGAAAGTAGAATTACAATATTACAATTTTGGTATTATAGCGAAAATAATTGAGTGAAATTTTGTGCTGTTGAGGTTTTACAATGTTACAATATTAAGTTTTGCGATATTGTAACCTTGTAAACCTTCAAACTTTTATTTAAAACTTCTAAATAAAATGAAACTTAACATGCACATTATTAGAATATCGCGAATAGGTTATACAAAAGTAACTATGATTACTACACCTGGAAAAACAAGTTTCTTCTTGCAATGATAATTCCCACTATATTTCAACCCCCCCTGCACGATGTTCACTAAAAATATGAAACAAATTTTATTGAAATGCTTATTCCAACCACTATCAGCTTATGCACCTTGAATTAGATAAAAGGACAAATATGATATAACGGATTATAAAATAATCACTATGGAATTCATATTTATAATTATTTTGTTAATATTTTAAAAATGTAAATTAAACTAGTCAACCGTATTTTAAGAAGGTAGACATTATTTCATTGCCTCCTATGATATTTCACAATTGTTCCGAACCAGAATAGATCACCCAGATCCCATTTATTCTTTTCAAATTGTAGTACCAAACGGTCATTCAAATATTATGGCAGAATTGTAGACTACTAATAAAAAGTATAACGTATGTTGCGCTAATAGATTGTAGCGAAAGCATGAATTAAACGACAATGCTGCAATATTAGTTCCATAGCAAAAATGAGAACTAAAAGTATATGCGTTTTTAGTGGTTAACAGAAGTAAAAGGGTGAAAGGAATACGATTGAGGGATTTACTAGATTATATATAGAGAAATTTAACTCTAAAACTTATTTTTTATCACCTAAAACACAATTTTAACAACCAAAATATAAACAAGATCATTGTGATAAATAAAATCTTAATAAAAATATAAAATGAAATACATTACGCATATCAGGCGCGAATTTAAATTTTTTCCTTAGAGGGGTGCAATAAATTTTATAAACATTTTAATAATTTTTACAAATTTTATTATCTAATGACCTTTTTTCCTTTATTTTAGTAGGCGACAAAACTTTAGAGTCTTACCCTGATACCTCTCTCTAGATTCGCCACTGTCGCAAATAAATGGGAAAGAACGAATAAAATACAAACTACAAAATAGAATATAACAAAAGTATTATTTTGATAATATTTTGTTCATCAAATACTAATACATTGTTTAAACATCTAGTCAACATGGTAGATCTGTCCTTAAAAAGTGCCATCAGAGCCTCACTCTTTTTTTTGTTATATAAGTGACTCACGCCTGTGAAAAATAAAACTTAGATTATATCAAAATTATTTATGTTCTAGGCACCTCAAATCTTAAGAACTGCCCAGTAGCGTATGCCAGAGAAAGAAATTGTTATTATTTTTTTTTAATAATTAATTTTCCTAATATCGATAAAATATTTATTATTTATTTAGTGATAAATATTTTTAGTTAAAATTTTCAATGTTGAGAAAAAAGGTCTCACTATATTTTGAACAATTTTTTTTGTTACGTTTTCTAAATTTAAAACTAATTTTCATAAGCTTTTTTAAATAGGATATATTATAACTAATATAAATTTTAAAATCTAAACAAATTCATTGATAATAACACTTGTATATCCAAAAATATTTTAGATTACAATCAAACATCATGTCGATACTATAGTTATATAATTTTATTAAAATAAAAAAAAATGAAAAGTTATGTACATTATTAGGGAATAATTAATTTTTACATAATACTTAATAAGAATTTATATTTACAAAGGTATAAAAAAACTAATGGATTTATAGGAATATATTAATGAATCAGTCTTTCTTTTAGTAGATATTCTTATGAACAGTAAGTATTGCACTTACGATTCTGTAAAAAAAAATAAAAATTTATTAGGACATAGTTAAAATAACTCATAGTAAAAATAAATTAATATATTTAACAATTGTGAATAAATTCTTTTTACTGAGGAGTTTTGTTAAGTTCATCATACCTCCAATGATAAACAATAATAAAAATTGATAACACTTTTTATAAAAATAAAGTGTTAATCAATGTTTAATAAATTTTAATTCGTCATTAAATTATCGATTGTTATTATTAATATATTATTGTTAATTTATTTATGCTTTCATAATTCATACTTCCATAATACCTCGTCCTACATTTTTTTTCCATATATAAAAATCAACTTAAAAAAATATATACACTAAATATAAAATTATAATCAGTTTTTAAAACTCTCTAACCGTCCTGAAGCTATACATAGAAAACAATGACCTAAACTCTAGAGAAAAAAATGACCTTAAAATCGTTAAAATCAACCAATAACTTGTTAAGAATACAAAAATTTAGAGAGATTTTAGATTTCTTTAATTATTTCTAATTAATAATAATTAATTTTACATATTTATTCAACATAAAAGTTCTATATTTCTTAGTTAAAATTGTAGATGAAATGAATTAAATTTTATCAGTTTAAAAAGATTTTTAATAATCGTTATTGTTTTACCTACTTATAAATTTTTTTGGAATATTGACCAAAAATGTTTGATACAATATTACCTTTAAGAAAACTATATCATTAATAATATGAAAACTTACTTAAATTTGTTATGTTATATTGTAAACAGTCATTAGGATGAATAATTTTAAGATTTGAATAATTTTGTGATGCACTACTTGTCTATGTAAATAAATTTTAGTTAATAGTCAATCTTTTTGATTTCATTTAACATACTTACGCAATACGTACTTGGTTGGTCAGGCATATTAGGCGAACTAGCATCAGGTAAACCCGGAGAAGATGTAGTCTAAAAATAAAATTATTTAGAATTTATTAAATAATAAACAAATATTTAACAAATACATAATGCATTTAATTAATGATATAATGATAAACGTGACTGAATGTAATATTGGGGCGTAGGTATAAATTACTAATAAAACATTTAACTATAAACATTACACATAAATAATAATGGTTATTACTTCATAAGCTTTCCAAATGATTATTTTCTATTCAAATTTTATTGCTAAGAAAAATTTTTTTATTAGAGGTTTACCCCCCTCCCTATCATAAGCCTTGATAAAATGAAAAATATTGCCAGATATTAATTTCTTTAAAAATCTAAAAAAAATGTAGACATTCATAAACATTTTGAACATCAAAGCATTAATTTACATCATTCAAATCTTTTATTTTTTTTAATTTCTGATAAAATTAAAAACATTTTTTGGAAAATAACCAAAGAATTAATCACATACAATTTTACACAGTACCGTATATTTTGTGATACATTTTTTTTTTAAACAATTTCACAAAAAAAAATTGATGTAACAGCACTAGATAGAGCATTCACCGCCGCCGCACAGTAGTCTGAAAGCGAACTTTAGGCGCTCATAACTTCTATTTTAAAACTCATAATATTAAAATAATTATGAAAACTGAATTCTAGTATATTGCTTAGATAAAATACAAAATTTCAAGGTCACCAGTTCATCCGGTCGTTATTTATAGCCGTTTGAAGTATAGATATGGTTATGTTACGGTTATTGTAACATAAAAAAGGTCTCTGGTTGTCAACTTTTTTAACAAGTTAAACATTTTTTTTTTATTTTTATTAAAAGTAAAGGTTAAAGATGGTAAAAAGAAAAAATTTCGAAAAAAAATTGACTAATTAATGATATAAATAAATATAGTTTAAAAAAAAACTAAAAAAACACGCTTTTAAAGCACATCGAACTAAAAAGTTAAAAATAATTTTTAAAATAAAAATGAACGAAAAATACTAGTATTATTGTTTTAAGTTAATTTTAAAAATTATTTTTAACTTTTTAGTTCGATGTGCTTTAAAAGCGTGTTTTTTAGTTTTTTTAAACTATATTTTTTTTACATAAATAGGTCGATATGTATGTTTTTGGTTAAAATATTGTTAAGGACAAGGGTACTAAATATTATAGTACGTACCCGAACCGGCTAAAGGCACTTAATACCTATCAAGCTGTGTTGTGTAATGCAGTGCAAATAGTCACTGGAGGTGGGAGGGTTCGCCTGCACAAAACCAGTGATCTATGTTGTGAATAAAGGTTTAAGTGTTTCTTTATTTTTTGTGTTTAGAGAACTCTTAAATTAATTAATGTAGATTAAACTTGACTTCAGTATAATAATCTTTTAATAATTGTATAACTTGAATGTAAGTTTAGCTTATTAAAAATAACAGTAGTACGGGCATATCATTATTATTATACGCGAGGAATATACAGCGCCGCGGCGGTATGAATATATAAATGAATATTAACATATATGTATATACATATAGTAAAGTGACTTAAGTACGAACAAATGTATCATACATGAGGTATAACCGTATTTTAAGGGCGGGCGGTGCGTGGCGGGAACACTCTACGTGAGGCATATACGGCGGCGGCGGTAGGAATACATAAATGAATATTAACATTAACGTATATATTTAGTCTAGTCTCAAGGCCATAGACGACGGATACGCGATAACACGTGGCGCGTGGAGAGTTACAAACAACAAACATACATGTGAAACTAATATAAGCGTGTTAAAAATATGTTATTTATTTAATCTTCGACAATCGTTTCGGAATTGACAAATAAGTTTTGCACATCGATAGAAAATTTATTTATACTTTTTTTTGAAAATAATTTCATTTATGATATGTGGGAATCACTTGATACTAATAGCATATTATACCTCGAACTTTTTCTAGTGTGGTGAAGTATTATTTTTTTATATTCTTGTTTCTGGCTTTTCCGAAAGTTGACCTAAAATTGTATTCGAATAAATTGTTACATCATTTAATTGATGTATATTGGAATATATATAATATATATATATATATTATATATCAGTGTTGAGAAGGAACTAGTTCCAACAGGAACGGATTCCTGGAACGAGTTCTTTTTGAAGGAACGATGCTAGGAACTGCTTCCTTTTAAAATAAAGGAACGAGGAAAATGAACAAATTCCATTTTTTAAGGAACGTGAACGGAAATTACAGTTCCTAAAAATTTTTATAAACATGTTTTAGTGTAGTTTTCTTCGTATCTAGACATTAAAATATTATGGTATTTTTAGTTGACTTTTGACAATGGAAGTCCCCTATATACCCAGCCGAGATCGTAGGCTGTTTAAATGAATCAATTGATTATAGATAGAGTTATTATCACATGTAGGTATACAGTAAATATTTAATATATGTGTACATATATTAAATAATGCACCGAATATTATCGTCGTTTCTTGTTAACTAATTTATGTTAAAGGTTTTGGGTTTTCTGATTTATTATTTCTAACTTATATGTAGACAATAGACATTGGTCGCGTTGACACAAGTCGTTAGCATTTACTACCTGCTTATAAATATAATTTTCGAATACTTTTAGATAAGGAATACTACAAATTTGTTTTGTATTCGACTGCTGATGAAAATCATTGATGACCGTTATCATGATCTCATTGCCACAATTTTTTAAATAACTTATAAAAGGAACGAAGAGTGGAACGAGTTCTTATTTTGGAGGAACTGGATCTGGAACAAGTTCCTTCTTAATATAAAGAATTAGGATCTGGAACGAGTTCATATTTTAGAAAATGAACGGGGAACGGAACGAATTCCATTTAAAAAGGAACTTTCCCAACACTGTTATATATATACCAATCGGAAGTATTACGAATCATATTACGTCAGCTCCATGAATTAACACCTTGTGGACACTAGCAGGCATATAATACCATGGGTATAAATCTTTAAAAATTTTAATGTTTCCATAGTAAAAATATTAAAAGCATCTACATTAATTTTTTTTCCACTGGAAATTGCTGAAAGTTATATTTCCAAATCGTCGTATAAAATTTATATGTGTTCCTGTTATGTTTAAAGTTCAGACCATATTTAGCTGATTGACAACATTTATGATTCTAATAGTTTGAGCTTAAACAATCGATAAACATGTCCCATAATTATAATATTATAATAAGCAATTAAAAATGAAAATTAATTAATAAAAGTTTAACAAATCATAAATTTTTTTTTTATATAAAAAAGAGTATTCAATACAAATGGTATTACTCGAATTATAATTTCTTGATTTTTCACTACAGTAATTAATTTGTAAAATTTAACATGTTTATAGAAAAATGAAACATAAAAACTATATATTAATTTTAATACTAACCAAAAATATTCATTAACATAATAAATATGTTTAGTTTAAAACTATTGCATGACCAAAAAACGGATAACACACCGTGATTTGTTCGAACTTGTGCGACAAAAGTGTTCAATGCAATGTGTAACATCTGTGGGTACCCGAAATTTAATGGTTGCGCACTTACATGAAAGATATAGTGGTTTGAAGTGGAATGATGCGTATATTAAATCCATACTTGTCAATTCCGATAAGATTGTCGAAGATGAAATAAATAACTTAAACAATTCAATGTCAGAAATCGAAATAAATGAAAGCTAATTGTAAATAAAAAATGTACTAATTGGTATAATCTTATTAGCCTTATCCACTGTAATTTTTGTCAGCCGCAAAAAAAATTACATTTTTAAAATCTAGAATACTTGCACTACAATATCTATGCATCGATACTTGGATAAAATAGGGTAATTTTTAGTACTGTGCTTTTTAATTTCAAAAACGACTCAAAAATAATAATAATTTTAATTAAAACAATCATTAATTAGTCAACAAAAATTTTGTTCGAAATTTTTCTTTTTAACATCTTTAACCTTTACTTTTAATAAAATAAAAAAAAAATGTTTAACTTGTTAAAAAAGTTGACAACTAGAGACTTTTTTTATGTTAAAATAACCGTAACATAACCATATCTATACTTCAAACGGCTATAAATAACGACCGGATGAACTGGTGACCTTGAAATTTTGTATTTTGTCTAAGTAACATACTAAAATTGAGTGTTCATAATTATTTTAATATTATGAGTACATTCATTTTAAAATAGGACAAATGAGCGTCTAAAGATCGCTTTCAGACCACTGTGAGGCGCTCTAGTAGGTAGACATTGCACCCTAGCTAGATAGCGGGGGTACTCTAATCAGGCTAGGCTCTCGATGTAATAAGGCGACTGACGAAAGAAACAAGGTGACCGTGTATTAAATGTATTGCAAAATAAACGGTACCGTGTCAAATTCAATTGTAAATTTATTTAATTTAATTAAAAATTGTTAAAATAGTGTATAATAACTGGTATTTAGGTGCGACTTTTTGAATATTATGGTTATTGAATTTTACGAATGCCTACAAGTATGTCACTTCGGATAAGCTATATATTACTATAAGATTATATATTTCTATTATCACTATAAGATATATTTGGAATTCTTAGAAAATAATTTACTTTATAATATGTATTTGCAATAATTACAAATACCATATATGCACAATTATTGTACAGTATAATCATTTTATTACTACTGCATGATCAATTTTTCGTTACACATACATTCGAAAACATTCTAAGGATAAATTACGATTTAAAATATATATTACTAAATTTTTCCATAAAAAACTTTTATAAATTCTCTAAAATTTGTATATTAACTTCTCAGTAAAGTTCGTTTTCAATTAACGTCACTTAAAAATTGTTATGAACATTACAATTACAAGATACAATATTAATTGTCAACATCACTTTAGCCTTCATTTCAACTTTCTGGGATCGGCTGTAACTTACGAATTGACAGGATTTTTACATAGATTGTCAATCTGACACAACTTCATTAAGCTTATGACGCCAGAAAGGGACAAAAGTGTATTATTGTATAATTTTTCATATGGTCATCCATTCGGGAACCAACAGAAAAAAGCGTAGCTGTTAAAGCACTGAATATTAGTGCTAAAGCGACAACTGAATAATCCACTATGCTACACCACGCCCCTCTAGATATAACGACAATAATTATTTAATTACCTGCGAGTTATAAGGCATATGAATGTTTTGACATGGGTCATTAGTTCTATAGTAGTTATTATATGAAAAAAGTCTTGTTGGCGTTTGTTGTGCCTGAGTTTGATCAGTTTGATGAGTAGGAACCGATATATGAATGTTATGATGAGTTAAATATGAATTAAATCGTGGAATATATTGTCTCATATTAGGATTACTGAGGACTGACGTTGCAGTAGGCATCATATTATTAGCTTGATGTTGAGAAGAGATGAATGGAGATGTATGTAGCGATATGGGCGGTGACGTCAATTGTTTAAAAAGAGTAGGGGGGTTTGGTTGATAAGATTTTAATGATCGGTCAACGGGAAGGAAATTTCTTATGTTAAATTGAGGTCGGACATTTATAGCTGGTGTAACTGCCAAAGGTGGCCGATTTTGAGTGCTTGTGACATTAATTTTCGGTATCTTAGGAGAGGGTACTTCTTTATTGACAATTTCGGGCTCAAGTCTTGTTTTTCGAATAGCTAACTTAGAAGTTTCACGATGACTTAAAATAAATTCTGGTAGCGGGATTCTATAAGAAGGCATCCGAAAATATTTTTTGATACAAGAAATCTTAGCCCAATTAACTAAGTGATGCATGGACTTTACGCGTGATGTACCACCATATAAAACATGATCAACAATGTAGCATCCATACATAAAACTATCAGGAAACATCCAAGTCTTCCAAAATTGCTTATTCCAGCTCAATACGCATCTTTTTACAACATCGCTAAATGCTAAAAATTTTTTGTAGGTGTCTACGTCCGATAATTCAGTAGTAACTACAGTCCTGCGAAATAGAGTCATGAAACATCCCATCAATGGAACAATATTGCAATGTTTTCCACTCAAGCTCCATATCAAACGTATGATACAATCGGTAATTTCTACGGTGTCAGACGAATTCCAATATTCATCTAGGTTTATAAGCAAGTTTCCTTTCTTCAGACGATTTTCTAAACGGTCAATTAAAGTATTTTTACCGTAATATTTAAAATATTCATAAACCCACCTTTTTATTTTTTCGGTTATTACCTTGGTCTTATCTTTAAGCATTTCTTTGATTAAAACTGTTTGCGTTTGTGTTTCCGCAGCAATAGGAATAGAACTGCACCTTGAGGACACCGAAGGTTCAGTGAATATAGTATTTGGATACTGTTTTACAGATGAGGCAGTCGTATTAATTAACGACGAACATGAGCCTAGCAACGATGCCGAGATAAGGGATGGTGGCTGAGATTGGCACTCTTGATCGTTTACCAATGATTCATTGATGTTAACTTCATTAGAATCGTCATTACAATCAATTGATTTAAAACAACTGGTAATAACAGAACAAACAGACTTAGCGGGAATATTATCAACTACAGACTCTGTGTTTATTATCAATGGTGGTCTATCATTATCAACATCCTCATCACTTATAGTTAGATCAATTAATGTCGAATCTTCAAAAGTAGATAATGACAAAGGAGTAGTAAACATGGGGATTTCACGTTTGATTTCAGTCTGTGTTTCTTCAACAGAAGATTTCTTAGCTACTATATTACTATTACTAATACAACTTATCTTTCTTTCTCTTTCTTTCTTTTTAAATTTTTTTATTTTTTTGAATAATTTTTTTTTTTTGGGAGTATATAATTTTGTATTTATAAGTTCGGCTACATTAGTTTTGATAGAATAAGATTCGCTAACTAGTTGACAAAATGGTTTATTTTTGATGTTACTCTTTCCAGCTGTGACCTCAATTGCCTGAATTAGATTTTGTTGACTATCTTCAGGAAGAGAATATGAGCGAACGATTTGGCATAGTAGACCATCGACTGAACCAACGTTAGAATAATTGTTTTCCTTTAGCGTAGAACAATGAGTAGGAGAAATATTAAGTTGATCAGTCTGAATTATTTTACTACTTTCATTATTATGTTCTGAGACTGGTGAAGAAGGGATAGTCTGATTAGAATAAATTTTTTTTGACGAATTGTTTATAGGCTTATTGTCTTCTACATCGGTAACATCTGTATCATTTCCGGTACTATAATTATTATCATCTACAAGCATAATTTTAGTGGATTCTTTGATGTCATTAATATCCGATCCAAATATTTTCTCCATTTGTTTTTGAACAAAAATAATACTTTCTTTTTTTTCACCGGTATTTTTTGATAGAGCTCTGTAAAATAGTTTGGGTGTAAAATATCATTATATATTTTAAATGAACAATAACACATACTTATGCACGTTTTTGAGATCAATTTGTACTAAAACTGGAGTGCTGATTTGACCTAACATTTGTTCTGTTTTTTGTCGATCACCATTCATTACGTCGAAACACTGAAAGTAAATCTGAAAATAAAATTACTAATTATTTTAAATCCAACTTGTTCATAATAAATAAATAAAAAATAAATGGTTATTAAATATATTGAGAATATAACAAATTTAGATACTCTACTTTAAAAGTAACTTCAAAAATATATTTTTTTAATGAAGGGCGAACAATTATTTTTAAGCTGTATAATTTTTTTATATAAGGTAAATTTACTAATATTACCGTACATACTCATTGTATGGACAATTGTATAAATGATATTTCCAACAGTCTGCTGAGTAAACAAGAATAACCCTTTTATAATTTTAAAGCAATTATTTTTTTGATACGTATTATATAACATTTGTTGATGCTTTCAATTGTAATTACCTATTAATAAAAGAATATATACTCACATTTTTTAAAAAAGTTAATTGTTCATCCTTTTCCAAAGTTCGAAGAAAATTATCAAGTGTCTCGTTTCTCCTTAACATTTTTTTAACATGTTCTAAAAATGAAAAACGAGACACATTTAATTACGTTAAATTTCAAGTAGAGAAAGTTCCCTGAATCAAGAATATTTATTATTAATTAAATTTGAGTTAGAAAATGTTAATGCTACATAAACAAATAAATAAATATATTAAAACATTTTTTTAAAACTTTTTCTTTGGATTTTTTAGCTATGATGCAGTATTAATTAATTAAAACATATTAATTTTACCATGATATGTTTATTTTTTTTTTTTGCGCTATCACTAGTTTCCTTAGCTTTTCACTAGACCATTTTTTCTCAGCGATATATCAAATGACCACAAATAGTATCTAGTTGAAGATATTTTCCTCAAAAATTGAAAGTTTTACCATATTACGCCGTAAATATCACCAAAAAATAACGACTTAAAATTTTTTTCTCTTAAAACTGCCTTAACTTTTTGAAAAATAAACATACCAAAATGATTTATTTTTTAATAGAAACCTTAGGTATTTTTATTTCCTTTGACACAATTTATTTGAAATTCTGACCCGTTATCTAGCCACAGGGGGGATTCAAAATAGGAACTTTTTCACAAAATTCAACTTTTTCAACTTAAATTTTTTAAATGTTCCGGAAATACTGCGTCATTTATACATATGTTAAATATAAAGCTTACATATACTTTACTAAATCTAATTTATACGCTGATTTCAAGTCTGAAATTAATTTTTTAATATCACTTTTTTTTTGAGATTATTACTAATATACATAATTCACAATAACACATGAAAAAAATTATTTTATTAACAAGTTATTATAGATTTTTAATATGTTGAAAACAAACCAAAATAAAATTTTAATTCAAAATGAAATATTTAACTAATTTCTTGAGTCTTTATAGTTGATTTTTATGAAAAGTTATAATTTAATAATATTGAACTTTTAAACACAATTTTAGCTCAACTTACAAATTTAGAATTTGTAAATAGAAAATTTTATGTGAAATAAAATAATTTATTTTTAGATTAATATGTGTGATCCGAAACTTATATAATTACTATTAACAGTAAATTTATGAGGAAAACTCAAAATTTCGTTAAAAATGTTTTATTGTAATGAATCATTTAAATAGAAATCTTAGTAAGCATTTCTATACAACTCTTGGTATTTAAATAATTATTTATATAGATATTCTGCACATAAAATATTTTGCTTGTTACATATTTTTTTAATTAAAAAATATTTATTGATTATTCATACGTAACCAAACAATTAATCACAAATATTTGTTATGTTAATCAGAAAATTTTGTTATTATTTAGTCCATATATGAAACTCTAATTGCTGATTTGAAATCGGGGCAAAAATGGGTTTAGAAAGTATATTTTGGAATCTGATGAAAATTCCTTGTAGACCAATAAATTAATTTATGAGTGACAAATAATTTTTTTTTAAAGTATTACATCAAGCCGTTCAAATTTTATAGATGTTATATGCTATAAAAGTAATATCTAATTTTTAATAATATCTCTATAAAAATTAAAATATGAAATGAAAAAACATAAAAAAATGAAAACTTCGTCCTAGGGAGAGGTCGCTATGGCCCTTAATGGACTAAAAAGCAATAAAAAAAAAAGAACAAAAACTTCAGCAAAAATATTGCATACTAAAGAGACCAAAATGTCGTTATATCATACATAAGAACGTATGCTTTACAATTAACTTCATTTGATAATTACTTAATAATCAACAGACAAATGGAAACGATTTTATTACCATGTTTTTTCGTCTAAAAAAATTACTCTAAGTTAGCATATAAAATGCCCAAAATTGATTAGTCCACCATTATATGAAATCCATACATATTAACGTGAATGCATTGGGGTATTCTAGATACACCCATCACATATATTTAGTTATTATTAACAAATTTCTTAAACAAATAAATTTGTATTCTTAATAGTCAGCTTTATGAAAAAATATACCACAATGGGACCAATCACGCTAAAAAAATTATTCTTAATACAAATGATACATAGTATCAGGTCATTAATTACTCAAAATATAGAATGATCGGATTACCGTAAACCATTTGATTATTCACATCTTATTATATAATAGAACAAGGAAAAAAACGCTTTTCTGGGAAAATTACTTAGCGTGCTCGGATTTTCAAAATTTTTTTTTTCGACGAAAGTACTCGGTCACCAGACTCCGGGAAAATTATTGGCGAAGGTTGGAAAAATTTTGCCGCTCGCCCGCGAGCGTTTTAAAATTTCGACCGTTTTCGAGAAAAACGCTCGCTGACGCCAGCGTTTTACGACTTAAGGTTTGAAATTTTCATCAGACCCGCCCAATGACATTCCTGAGATATGATAAAAAAATCAATTCAATCCGTTCATTTTTCACCGTTTTACAATTTTTTTTTTAAGTCCACGCGCATGGTTTTATTATGCGCAGTGATTCATTTCTACTGATACGTATTATGAACCTTAATTATATGGTGTATGATGTATTATTATTAAGACACTATTTTGCAATTGCCCTATTTTTATTTTTTGGTTACATATATTTCTTGATTTATCGGCTAATAAAACTTTTTAAAATCACCCTTTATAACTTATGTAGGTGTCAACTAAATTTTTTAAATGGCGACAAACATATTTAACTAGATTATAAAATAGAAAATAAATAGCTGATAAATCAAAAAATATTTACAACTAAAAAATCAAATAATTATTTTTCATTACTGTAATTATTATAAGAATAATCCAGTGTCATATGTTAAATCGATCACTCTATATATTCCAAAATGCACAATACAATCTATTCAATTATGATGACTACAGCAAATAAGAAATCAATTATAATTTATAATATCCAAGTAAAGCCTGTTTACAATTCCTAATATCTTTCATTAATAAATGTACTTATCACTATACTTTAATTGAGTATTTAAAAAATATTTTAGATACCTTGAAATAAATAATACTTCTATATATTATTTTAAAAATAATTTCGCGAAGTACACACATTTACCTGGATTTTCTACATCATATATTCCTTCATAATTTCTGAGATTAAATTAATTGAATTACATTTCACTAATAAAACTTATGAATTCAAGTCTAAAATTACAATTTGAAATTTAAGAAATACTTTACATCGATAAAATTTGGTACTTATACTATTTCATGCTATACTGGAATTAAAAATGTTAAGATAAAATGATAGCAAAAAAAATAAAACATGAATAACTGTATTTATACAAGGAGAAACTTTAATACGTTAGCAGCAAATGTGCAAACAAATATGTTTTTTGTTACAGACACCAACTTCATTTAAAAATATAAAATTTACTTAAAATATTATTAATATTATTGTTTGAAAGATGCTTGTTAATATTCTTTTGGAAAATATATACCTTTGGTATGCGTTCTGTAATATCAATTTAATGTAATATTAAATTAATTATTACATAAAATAATTTAAATTTAGTTTAATTATATAAAGTTTAAATTAGAATAATTGTAAAAATAGACTTAAGTTATTGTTTATTGTAATTTTTATACAATATTTTTTTAAAAGTAGATAATATACAGTTTAGATTAATTATCCGATATTTATATATTTTCATTACCAGTTTTATAAAAATAATTCAACAACAAGACAATTTTCACTAAATTATAATAAGTTTCCCTTAGGCTATTTTTTAAATATAAAATTTACTAAAAATAGTATTAATCTTATATTTATAATCAAAAACATTTTAAATTTAATGTTTATGTAAAATATCTATGTATTATTTTGAATAGGTATTTTATGGTAGTAAAATAAAAAGATAAAAATAAGATAAGCTTATAAAAAAGTATGCCAAACTAATAATATGTAAACAATAATATATAAATATAGTAAACCTTATAAGATAATTTTCTAATATACAAAATTCTCGTGTCGTGACGTTTGTTGCCAAAAATATTTCCTGAAAATAGTTTATATGGCAAAACAACATTTTCGGGGTCAGCTAGTAAATATATGTAATATTATAATAAATATACATATATATATATATATATATTTATATATAAGTTTGCTAATAGATACTAGTTTAAATTAATGCTATTTTCTAATCATATGTCAGGTATATCTACTTCAGGCTTTGGAATCAGCATATTACATAAGTAGTTAAAATAAGTAACATAAGTTAAAATATATCAATATCATATGAAAATATAAATCGATATAAAAAAAGAAAATTTAATTTAATTTAATTTAACAACAATTTTGTTCAAAAATACCGTCAGATTATAGACATTTCGATATGTTAACAAAAAGTAGCAGCTATTTTATTGTAGGTATTGGTATTATCATTTTGTTGTCATTATAAGAACTAATACTGGTTGTCTGAAAATATGTATTATAAGAATATTACTTTTAATCATTTTATTTCATTCATGTTCCATCTTTTATATAATAATTAATAGAATAGTTTATGTTTACATTGTAAAAAACTACATTCACTCAAGAATTGCTACCCAAAATGATGATTGTAAAATATTTAAAATACCAAAGGATTTTCCTCGGTTAGTTTTTTTTCTAATAAATTAATAAAAATACTATTTGAATCTTAAAAAATCTTAAATTTATTCAATAGTTATGAAAAATGGTTACTAAAATTGCAACAGAAATGATTTGTTAGACAAATCAATTGATACATTGAATAAGTATTATATGGTTTGATATGTTCATTTCAAACCTAATGTTTTCTATCCCAGAAAATTTTTTCAATCAGTCTGAGGGCTTAAATTGTCTGAATGACTTAGATGAAATTTAAACTAATTTAAGTGATACTGATCCTCCATTAAACAGTCTTATTGCATTTAATCCTGAGAAAATTCTTGATTTTGAAAATTTTAGAGTTGGTATGGCTGATTACCATGATTTAGGTTTTTCTGCTATAAATGCCTTTACTTATGTATATGGCTATCTAGTTAAGAAATAACTAGAAAAACATAATTATGGTATATGTG